CGCGCACCATGCGTCGCCAGCATCGGCGTCCGCTTCAGTGGCATTGGCGCCTGGCGAGAAGATGTGTTTGCTGAAGACGTCTGGCGGAGGCGGAAATAGAGACGTATCGGGGACGGCAACCTGCCAGTCATGCTGAGGATTAGAGGTTTCGTATGATGGGGGAGCATTGCTGGGCGGCTGCGAGGGGCCTGCCATTGTTGGTGCGACGTCTGGCTTGGACTTTGGGGGATTGTAGCTTGCCCTTGGCTGCTTTGAATCAGCCGTGTCAGCTACCTTTTTATCTGTTGAACTTCGAGGCTGAGGAGCCGGATCGTCATTGCTCTCTTTCTTGCTTCCGAAGCACATGATGGCTTGGTGTTTGACAGTGTTTGTTGTTGTGAAGCGAAGTAAAATGCGCCTTGCAGGGTAACTGCTAATAATTGGACGATGTCATAATGAGGCTTGGCAGACAAGGAATCTTCACCACGAGACCGAAGAGCGATTGCACAGCCTCAATAATTGCCACATGGATATCGCCGGGTAACATACTCATGAGCTTTATTCTAAACTTAATCTTACTCGCTAGTTAGTTGCTCTACAAGGACAATGCTAAGAACAAGCACCGTATAGAACCTCAGGAGACATAACAAGTCTCAAACTCAATTCGCTACGTCTAAAACAGTATCACCAAGATCAATCCCAAATCAAGGACCATGTCGCACTCCCAGCCCAGAACTAATTCCAATCCCATCTCCAGTCAGCTGACACCCATCGCTCCTGTTCCTCCTCCTCCTCCCCAATCATTGGCAGCGGGAGCCTCGGGATAGAAGAAAGCAACCAGCGCAATGAGAACATAGACGGTGCAGAGCAGGGCCCCCTCCATGTAGTTGCTGCGCCCATCCAGCACTAGGAAGTTGGTCATGAACGTAGACACAAACAGACACACCGTCTCGAACAGCGTAAAGTACAGAGACATGTCCTTGCCCAGTACCCATCCCAACATAACCACCAGAGGCGTGATGCAAAGCGCGATCTGGATGGAACTGCCCACCGTGACCCCGATCGCCAGGTCCATCTTGTTCTTCATTGCCACCGTGATGGACGTGATGTGCTCCGCCGCATTGCCGACGATGGGCAGCACGATGAGGCCGATGAAGACCTCGCTGAGGGGAGACGACTGGGTCACCTCCTCGATCGAGCCGAGGAGGAATTCGGCACACAGAGCTACGAGGCCCGTGGACACAAGGAGAAGGATGATGACGGGTGTTCGGGTGAGATATTCCTCCTCGTCCTCTTCGCCTGCTTTCTGTTCTTCAGCCGGACCTTCCTCGTCATCGACACTGCTGTCGATTGTCACCTCTGTTCTTCTTGGAGCGCGGGGACCATAGTCCGGATTCTTATTCTTGTTCGTTAGTAGAGCAGGGAGAGAGACTGCCCGTGTTTTTCTACCGCCACCGGCTTGGACCCCAGTTGCCTCCCCAGTCGACGGCTCAGGGGGAAACAAAACGGGTGTGATTTGAGAAACAGAACCACGCAAACTCCGCAGTGCTCTTCTCGCCATTGGAGGAGAAAGATTTGCATCGCGGCTTTCCTGCTTCTCTCCACGTTGCCTGTTGGTTGAATCCGGCTCATCTGGCCGGGTTGCATCAGTATTTTGCCCTGCCTTCTCGTTGTCGTTCTCCCAGGAAAACCCACCCTCATTCATCAAAACCGAGTCTATATTATTTTCGACTTTCTTCTTTCCCTTCTCATCATGGGAACTTGCTGACGGATGAACCTCCTCCAACGCTGCCGTCTCCTTTGCCCCGTCCCTCCCATCCACACACGTCTCCATAGAGTCCATGTGGGTAAGTGAACGGGGCTTTCTGGACGAGGAACCCACCCCAAAATCATGAACATCGCTTCCAAGAGGCCCGTTTGTCTTTGCCAAGACAGCCTTCCTTCTTGTACTGGCTCGCTTGGCTGCCATGTCTCTGATACCCCGACCGACCTTGGCGCGAACAGAGTCCAGAGAGTGATCCGATCGGCCAGAATCATACCTCGAGTCTGAGCTGCCACCAGAGTGCCCGGCTTCCAGCCACGCGGCGGCAGGCCCAGGTAAAGCCTCAGCATCTACAATGTGCCGTGGCGTCGACTTGTAAAGGTAGGCGTGGGATTTGAGCTGGAATACCAGAAAGATGATGTAGACGAGGAGGAGAATCTAGTTGGTGCGTTAGCAGATCCCGGCGGGAACCTTGCAAATAAGGAGATCTTGAGAATGCTTTCACCCACCACGCTCGTACCGCGGCTGATTCTCAGCGATAGTGCGTCGGCAATATGTGTGTTTCGAAAAGCCGCGTGGAATGCTGTCTGTTAACAGTAAGCGAACGGCCTTCATCTATGCAAGGCTATGGCCTCTTTCAATAATTTCGAAATACAACTCACTGGAAGAACCAGACTGATGACACTCAAACTGAGTAGACACGCACTCATTTGGGTCACCGTATTATTATACAGCTAGTCAATGATTCAGTATGAATTCGCAAATGGAATATTTACAGAGATGGAATCAATTACCTGTTCTCTGTATCTCATGCCACCAAGGAAAAACGCCATGCCTAAGATAAGCAGAACATTGGCGAGGATAGAGCCGAGAATGGAGGCTTGAACAATCCGGATCTTGTTCTGATAACTAGTTAGCTTGCAAGAGCGTTCCTAAAATTTAATTCCGAGGAGTGAACGAACCTTTGTCAATGCAATACTAATTTGGAAAGGAGAAGATGTTAGCCGTGCTGATCCATAAAGTACCCAGAAGAGTAGGGCATAGACATTGAAACTCACATGCTATATTACACATCATGTTAGATTCTGTGCATTATTCATTCAGTAACATGAAACCCGGCTGGAGACTTACAATATGATCAGCTCAACCGAATTCCCCAGCGTGACATTCATCAGCGCCCCGAGCGCATCGCCAACCTCACGAGCCACCGACTCAGTCGCAAAGGCCATGAGCCCGGCGAGCGGTATGATGGCCACGCAGTTGGTCGCAAATATCACTCCACCGTGGATATCTGGCACGAATCTGACGATGACACCAACTGGGACGAACACCAGGAGGAAGTTGACCCAGCTGTGAGCTAGGATTCTCCAAGCGCTTTGTTGGCCTGCCCGCAAGAACAGCTTCATATTCGCTCTCTTATTGGGTCTGTCCCTGTTGGATTCTTCGTCTACTTCGCCACCCTCGGGTACCAGTGTAGGAATAGTTGATAGCGGTACAGATGAGTCTTGTTCTTCCTTTGGGTTTTCAGCTGAAGCAAAGGTGTCGAGCCAGGCCTTCGATTCCGGCTGGTTTCCTTGTCCTGGAGCTATAGTAGCTTTGGAATCTGCCATCTTACCACCCACTCTTGCGAAGGGTTTTTTTTTTCATTCGAACAAAACAGATACAGCACCAAAGACAATACGAGTAGCTCAAAATGTTGAAGAAAGAAGGATGAAAATAGCCATCCGAATAAGTGGACGAGAGACACTGTCCAAGAAGTTCGATCTGGCTGTAGCACCATATACCATATGACCAAAAAAACGGAAAGGAAGGAGACACGTCATACTCATAGAATTACCGGCTGCTTTCCTTTTGAAAGTCTTTCCCCTCCCCGGTTCTCCCCTTTGGCATGTTGGACAGCCCATATAGTGAAACTCGGCATCCTCAACCCGAGAAGGAGTTGCACCAGAGTCTGTCACTCTAAGACATTGCGCTCGCCGGTATATTTGCCCGCTGAACCATTTACTTTCCCCTTGCCACTGGTCGGCTTAACACTATGCCGCCCGGCAGATGTATCGAAAACAAAAAATGCCGGCGATTATAGTTGGCGATGGCACTAGCAGTTTGACTGAAGGGGTATTGTATGATACGTAGTCGTATCCTAGGCAGAAAGATCGCGATACGGATGGCTGTTGTTAAGGAAACCTCCAACCAATTTGCAGCTGGGAGAGAGTACCTCTATGGACAGGACAAGGTTTGGTGACAACCATCGCCCTCCCCGGCATGATTGCCCAATCTTTCCTCAGAAAGCCGTCAACGCCAGGCCTGACGGCAACACTACTCCAAGCTCTCGACCTGTTTGGGGCCTCATTTGATGCGTGTCTCACTTCGCCACGACGGGAAGAAAAAGGGGGCCTTGGGACTCAAGTGCGACTCTGTGTGCCGAGCAGCCAGAGTGCTAACATGGCATCTTCAGCTAGAACCCTTGTCTATGCTAGTTGCACCAAGTTGCTCAAGGGCTACGCTGAGAGTGTCTTGTACTGGTAGACCATCGTGATTCATGCACGGGAGAGCACATCAAGTAGAAGAGAGACAAGATGAGTAGGCAAATTGAGCTATCAGGTTGTATTCAGACTTATCCCGTCAAGTATTTCTCCAGCCTTCGGCTTCACTATGTATGGTTCAGGCCCATTCTATCGAAACATTCTTGCATCCTTCCCGTGTAATCGCTCTTTCTACGAGCACTACCCCATAACTGACTCGCTCCAATCGCTGATGTTCACATGCAATTTCACAATAGACAAAGACGGGTGTATAGAACAAAAACAAGGGAGTGGAAAAAGGTCAACAACTAACGCTGCCTAATTGTTGGCAGCCATGCAACTGGTAGACTGCTCCATCGTAACTCGAACAAGATACTATCTGGCACACGCAAAAAGGATGTTAAACACAGGACAAAAAGAAAATCAACAACAAATATAGCACCATTAAAAGAATTCATATGTATAGTTCCCCAGCGCCATGAAGTGATTTGTAAAAACATCGACCGTCAGAATATTAAGAGGAAATACGACTCCGAAAGGACCCGTTCCGTTTATTCCTTGTTGGCTTCCTCTGGTCGAGAAAATAAATCAATGAAACAACGTGGATAATAGAGAATCAAGCCCGAATAAACATGAGCTCGTGATCCCTCCGTTTCGAGGATGCAATCAAAGCGTAGAATAGACCGTCTTTGGCCGATTCGAATCTCGCAGATAGCTCCCAGATATATATATGTCAATTATCGCTCCTCACCGCCGCGAGCTTTGCCTCTTTTCCTAAAAAAGTCCATCACTCGCTTGGCGGCACCGGTGCTTGCTTCAGGTCCTCGGAAATCGCCTTGGTCATAGGCATCCGTGAACTTCTTGGCATTCTTGTGCAGCTGGCCTCGTTGTTGGCCTCTCTGTCCAATGGTAGCCTCTGACCCTGAGAATCCTTGATAGCTCCCCATCTGTGGTTCTGTGGGGGGTCTACGCATATCAATAGATGATTCGGAGCCCGTGTTATATTGGACTCTCCCCTGTTGCATGTAAGGAGGTATTGCGTTGGCTGACCTTGGATCCAGCTGTGTCGAGGCGAATCTTTGGTGGCGAGCACCACCGGCATTGGATGTTGGGGGAGGTCCCCTGCCGTATACGGTTTCAAACACTGGGCTGCCATCTCCGTGCGAAGTAAAGCTCCGAGGGGGTTCCATTCGGTTGTCTTGAATGGGAAGGTTGTGTTGCGAGCCAAGCTCTGAAGGAGGGGTTGCAGTGTCCTCGCGCCCGGGCGTCGACTTCATGGAGAATGGAGGAAGCAACGAGAAACGACGACGGCCTGAAGCCTTCTCCTTCTCTCCATTAATGCTCCCACTTCGCTTCTTTCCTAGTCCGAGAGAGAACGACCGTCGAGAAGTCTTGGATTCCATCGATGGCCGTGGTCCTGGATCGCCGCCTGGCATCGCGTTGGCCATGCTGATGGGAGGGTATTTCCTAGAATTGTCCGGCTGCTGTTCTGGGCGTTTCTTACTGCGACCGAAGACAGACCCGCTACGTCCTAGAAGCTTCGATCCAATTTCACCCAGAGTGCTAGACCTCTTATGACCACGGGCAGGACGGCCCTGGGCCTCGTTCATACCCGAGATCTGGGCAAATTTGGGAGGGGGGTTTCCACTAGGTGGTTGCACCTCAGGAGTTCCAATGGGAGACGGCTGTTCAATACGACCCTCTGCATTGGTATCGGCAATAGCAGGGGGGGCAGGCTGACCATATTGGCCAACGGACTGTAGCCCCATAGAGGCAGCTGAAGCGAGGGAGTGACCTGTTTGCGGTCTCATTCCCGAGCTCGATTGAGGAATATAGGTATTATCAGTAGGAGGGCGTGACTCTCTAGGAGGCTCTCGAGGACCCCGTGGAGCAATCGGTGCCTTTTGTGGAGGATAGGCACGCTTCGTTGGTGGAGGCCGAGACACTGTATCCTGTGTGACCGGCGGATCTGGAGCAACGGGGCGTTCTTGTTGGATAGCCTGTTGATCTTCTGCCCGTCCCCGCGAAACTGACCGAGTTCTTTCGCTCTGCGAACTGGTCTCCGCACCACGCTGTGTCTGTGTTGTGGGAGCAACGTACTCAACCTGCACAGTTCGCCGTTTAGCATCCTTAGGCGTCCGCTGGGCTGCCTCAGCCTCTGTGTCAATCTTGGCATGCGCCTTCGCGAGACCGCCAACTGGAGTGGGAGAGTAGGCCTTCTGCTTGTGTTGTTCACGAACAGAGGAGCTGCGAGTGACGACGGGTGTCTCAACAGCCTCCTCCGTCGCTGTGGGTGTGACATTCTGGATATCTTGTGGTAGAGTAGTCGAGCTTGTGATAAACTCGACAACATGTGCGTATTCGCTCAGCCAGCTGTGACGGGCAACCTCAAAGAGGTCTGCTCGCTTTCGTGGATTAGGGACTAAGATGCGGCGGAGCAAGTCGCGGGCGTGAGGGGTGACGTATTCGGGAAAGGTGAGAGGGGTGGTCACGATATATTTGTAGAGAAGGTTGATGTTGTCGCCTTCGGGATTGGCAGGGTCGTCGTCGAATGGAAGATATCCAGCCAGCATGGCATACTGAAACCCAGTTAGCACGTTGTTTGCCCCTCCCCAATGACTTTATGTATGCTTACCAAAATGACACCGCAACTCCAAACGTCAACTTTTCGCCCAGTATAGAGGCAGTCACTGACAACTAGTTCGGGAGCAGCGTAGCATGGACTTCCACAGCTAGTTTGCATCAGATCACCTTTTCTCATCCCACTTGGCTTCACCTTGTCGAGCCCCATCCTCTTGACGTAGTCCCGATCCGACAAGTTGAGTTCCTCTTCATTCGTAAGTTCCTCAACCGGATCAAAGGTGTTCGCAAAGCCAAAATCGGTAATAATAATGTTTCGGTTCCGATCAAGAAGCAAGTTCTCCAACTTCAGATCTCGGTGAACAATGCCCTTCTTGTGCAGATAGCCGACACCAGAAACAAGTTGTGCAAATAACCGACGGGCCGACTGGTCTTTTAGGTACCGGTGATTAAGAATGAAATCGAACAACTCTCCGCCGGACGCGTACTCGAGGATGATGCCGATGTATCGGTCCGTCTCCACCATATCAATTAATTGAACAATGTTTGGGTGCTGCAGGTCACGCAAGATGGTGACTTCGCGGTGGATTTTTGCCAACCTGGATGGGTTGCCGCCGACAGTATCCCTTTTGATTAGTTTGATTGCCACCTGTTCCCACCTGTTAACCAATGCAAAGAGGGCGCCCAAAAGGTGCATTTTGACGTACCTGGACGCTGCTATCCTGTTTCCATCCAAGTTTCACCTTTCCGAACTCTCCTTCGCCGATTGTGTTGCCCAAAATGAAATCACCGAATTTGGCAGTGCCCCTCTGGGACCGATTGCTGTAGTCATGTCGGCTGCGGCCACCTCTGCGCTCCTCGTTTCCGGGGCTTGTGCCAACTACCGGCGCTGGTGAAGCCTCCTCATCTCTCTGCTGTGTTCGAATAGGAATCGTAGTCGTCGTACCGCTCGGGCGTGCTGCGGGATCATGTGCATAGTGTTGATCGGGGGCCCGTTTTGACCTGTGTCCATTCTCAAACGCACCGTTCGGGTCGGATCTGGAGCTAGGGCGAGATCTATCACTTTGAACATGCTTCGGAGAGTTCGTCATCTTCTCGGTCGGGTATTGGTTTCTTCGCGAGCTCGAACTTTGCTGGTTGGACGATGTTCTGGGAGGCGCCACGGGAGCCATTTTGGAGGAGCGATCTGACTGGGGTGAATACGTAGCGGAACTGTACGGCCCACCGTTTCGAGAGGCTACAGCGTTGGTATCAACTGCTGGCGAGCCGTTGCCGCTTGCCTTGCGGGACGGGGGGCGTCGGGATGATGGGGATGATGTGGCTCGCTGGTAAGCATTGTTCGCTTCGATGGCAGGGGAGGATTGAGAGGGCGTATAGTGTCGATTCGATGAGGCGGACAAGGGCGGTGATCCCAGAGCAGGAGACTGATGGGTAGCGGTTTGGATAGCTGCCGACATCTTCTCTGGATCCACTGCCTGATAGCTGCAGTAGGCGACGCTGGACGTCGTCTACAACTGGTCGAGAGAGATGGGCGGCGGGCCTGCAGAGAAATCAAGATAGGAGCGAGGGAAGGCTGTCGAGAGCTGTGCACAGGAGGGGTGACTGGCGGTGATGTAAAAACCAATCCCCTATTGCCAACACAACGGAATGGGCTGTGGCACCCTAGCTATCGGAAGATGTTTCAATCCTTTCAGCCGAGCCTTGAGAAAGGGACTACCGTTTAAAAAAAAAATTAGAGAATTAAACGGCGGTCAAGAGGATCGACTTGGCGGACCAACCAGCAAAAATCAAAAACAGGAAGCAACACGAAAAAAGACCAATAATCAATCTTTAAAAACGCGCTATTTCATAATGTGTCTGGGGCGCAAGGCGTAAAATAATCGAAATCAGCAGCGGTTGAAAGAAGAAGGCGGTAAACAAGACCACCACGTCGGGTTGGGTTGCGTGGGATTTGGTGGTTCTGATGTGTTGCTCTCTGGCCCCTGAGTGGTTGGACGATGGGTGAGCGACGTGGACGCGCGCTGGCGCTGGACCACGGACTTGGTCGATCTGTTCGGGGTGGCTAGCGCGATCCTTTGCTTGCTCTCGCCAGTCAATGGCTTGGGTTCGAAAAATCGGGAGGTTTGCTTGACCGTTTGGATGTCGTCCACCGGCGCGAGATGGCCCAGCCCTATCGAGGGAGACTGCTGGAAGGGGCCTCGGGAAGTTGGCGACGGAGGAGGGAGAGCTGATTGCAGGATGAGACGGATGGGCGACCATGGGTTTTGGGCAGAGCAAACAGGAGAGGGATGGATGGATGGACCCAGCCGTGTCTGGGGGGGTGGGAGATTGGCCTGAGCTGGGAAGCGGAATGGAGGCCAGGAACAGGCGAAATTGACGCCGGGAGATTGTTTGGTGGGGCCGTATCGTCCTTTGCCTGCCTCCAAGTTACAGCAGGAGCCCAGTTGATGCAGGTCACTGCCGCAGCTCCTGCCCTCGAAAAGCAGGAGGCTGGGGTCCGGAGGGTACTTGGGCCTGGGCGGTGCGCCAGGTACCTCTCTTTCGCCTGGCGTGTCGGGCTCAGTGGGCTCCAGCGAAGGTGCTACGACGTATTTTCCTTCACTTGGAACCTCTCCCACGGTGGGCCGCTGACCGGGATGCGGATGTGATGGGTGCTTCAGAAGCAAGTCTCACTGCGACTGCCAGTGCTGTTAAATTGCATCCCCAATGCATGACAACACATCGCGCCGAGCAATTTTTTCCTTCTTCCCAGCCCATGAGGCGCATCATCATGCCCCCATCTGCCGTCCGGCACTGTGCCTCCAATCACCGGTACCTCGAACTAGCAGTAGTCGCATCTAGATGCCAGCCTCTGCTTTTAGTAGGGTGAATCGGTGTCGCCCGCACCGAAGCTCAGAATTACAGCCAATGCTAACCACCACTAACTGATAGCCCGAAACCATAACCGCCCGCCGGTGCATGAAGCGAGGTAATCTTACCAGACCCCTGGGCGCTACTCTCAGCTGTGGTCCGTGGGCCGTCGAGTCGATTCCCATCCCACCATCCCAGGTAGGCATATTTAAGTGATTGCATCCACGTCACGAGAGAACCCACCAAGTTTCTTCAGAAAATTCCATCATCGCAGACTTGGTTTGCTGGAAGCCGCCTGTGCTGCCCAAGCACTGGGCACCTACGTAACCCCCGTCATCGCAGGGTTGGATCTTAGTCGTAGCCGTGGGCATGATACCAGCTCCTCTTATGATCACCGCCCGCCCCCATTGTGCCCTCGTCGCATGAAGTTGTGATGTGTGTCTCGCTCTGCTTATGACAGAGCGGCCGTTCAACCCACATGTCGCGCATATGGTTGGCGCAGGCCCAGGAGCTGAACCGATATGTCTCTCCCCATTCCCGCGGCTGTGAGACATCATGCCTAAAACATGCGTCAGCAGCTTTCGGTCAGCAGCGCCTACCACATGTACTTCAGCCCTGTTCATTGGCGGCCGCGTTGTCTCATTGGGCAATCGGCTCCGAACGGCCAACGAACTTCGGCTGGATCCAGTCAAGATCCCGCCGAAGCGCGCCCAACTCGCACGGCGAGCAACGGAATTGGAATTGCACGTAAATCAATGACAGCATAGAAGGAACGCACGTTAGATATCGCGGCTGGATATGAGAGCTTTCTCTGGAGCGAATAAAAAAGAGAGAAGCCAGAGCAGATTTGAGCATGGCGCGTTCTGGCGCCGTAATTTGGCAGTTCGTATGTATGAACCGCGATGGTGTCAAAGCGCAAATAGCGCGACTCACACACGTCTTTGTCGACTGCCACTTAGTTCCGTACCAGCACTTATGCACACCCTTATACCGACCATATCTTGAAAATCTCTTTGTTCACGGCGCGGTTCTGGCGGCTACATATTCCGGGGAGAGGGAGGCGAGTCCAGGATTGAGCTGATCTCCTCCCTATCCCTGAGTGCTTGTTTTCGAGAAACCGCTCGAGGCCGTCCCCCCTGCCAAAGACAATCATCATGGTGGCTTGATATTCAGAATGGCAAATTTCCACCCGTTGAAATGATCGTGGCCTTATTTCTTACAGGTCGAATTGTGTCAAGGGAGGCCAGTGCGCACACCACACGCGCATGCACACATGGACAGGATATGCCTGGCTGTGTATCGCCAATCCAGATCCAGCGTCTCATTCACGCTAAGATTCTTATTCTGGTATGTAATGTACTTAATACAAGCACGTAGATGATGTGCATTTACCCACAAGCCACGAGCTCAGGGCCCATTCCCTTAATATTGGCTATCCGCATTCTTTGGTTTGAATCACATTTCCGAGACAACGAGGGCCCCTCCACAACATGCCAGACTATTGCCATTTTCATTTCAATATGCAGCTCTCGTTTCTAGATCAAATTAAACATCGTTCAGCATCTCCAAAGAACTTGCAGTTGGGCAATCGAGAACCGGTGGAGTTATGAATCATACGTGGGGAGACAGGACCAGGATTCCTGGGCCAGCCAGCATTGACACCGGAGATGAGCATAAATCGCCACGAGCTGTCATGCCATTACCACTGCATCGTCCCAATCTCACATGCGTTATGTAGTCTAGCTGCAGGTTCCCCACAAAGGCGGGAGGATGTCTGAGAGCCCTTCTCCAAAAGGTTTGAGACGTCATATGCTGACCCATCTCCCCAACTTTCGATTAGAAAACGGCCGCCATGAGATCCTTCACGCTCCTCTTGGTATGCACCGCGTAAAGTGGGTGGTCAATGAACCACGGGACGCCAACACGCCACGCTCAGTCCGCGTCATGTGAGTTATGACATTGGTGCTCCTCGATTGCAATAGTAACCAAAACCGTAAGTAAGTAATAAACTAGTTATTGGTGTGTATTATACATGACCAAAAGATGTACTAGATTTTATTGTCTAAACTGTGTTGGCTATTGTAATATGCTACCATTACTCTGGCAGCCTTACTGTATAGAGTATATACTTCATGTGCGCATCCATTCTACACAATCTTGAAGGGGGGCTTCACATCAGCGTTATGAGTTCATGGGCTTCAATTTGAGTCCTGAGCTATGTCACCGGGGGAGGGCACAATCAAGAATAATGCTGAGAAATGAGGGTCGATCTTTAGCCAGGTAGATACGTTGGCAACACAAATTGGGAAGATGGAAAGTGTCCAGCTAGCCAATATTTGGAAAAAGCAAATATGATAGTGCATATGATGATATGTTATCAGCTAGGTAACTTGCGGCGCATTATATGTTGCCCTTATCTGGCTATATACATGATGGATTTCGATGACTCGATATCAGAGTAGGTTTTTGAACCTCCCAAGCATTAAAAATATGAAACCCGAATCAGTTATAAGTGATCAAGCAGCTTATTCATGAAGAGCTATGCAGGCTCAGTTGCAATGAGAACTCGTGTCCCTTGAAAGTCTTGACCAAATTTTAGGTAGCCGACCCCCTGGAGTCGATACCCATTTACTAAGATGATGGATACTGGATGCTTCGTGCGTGAAAACAGGACAAGATCAGCAACGATGTTGCCAACTTTGTATAAGGCGCTCAATTCCTGCCCTGCCGTGGATGTAATGATGCAAAGTACGGTAGCTCCTGCAGAACAGTGCAAATGCAGAGGAAGAGGAGACGTAACTCAACAAACACAAATTAAATTTCTTCAATCCCCAGGTGCTAGAAAGAAGAGATACGAGGAAAAATTGGTTAATAGTATTGCTAGGTCGAGGTCAATTTGGTAGTATTTAGATCGATGAAGATTGATGTGTCGGCGAGAAACACAAGGGTGCCACCCAACATCTTCTTAAAGTTTGATCGAGATTCCCCAATCGTCAAGAAGGAGAGCGAATGCGGATATGGACGCAGTGTAGGCGATGAGTATGCCAACAGCCTTGAGAGGAGACGCCTCCAGGGTATTTACAGTCATGTTGACAAGCCCGGTCAGAAGATTGGCCACCAAGAAGATTGCCAATCCGTTCCGGTTGAAGGCTCGAAGCACACGGCTCGTGGCTGTGAGATACGCATCGGTCTCTGTCCTTGTATCCGTGGCGTTATAGAAGGCTGGGAAGAAGATGCTGTCGATGATACAGAAGGCAAGGACGGAACCTGTGTTGTATGCAGCCACCCACAAAACGTAGGGTAGGTTGGCCAGACGGCGTGAGACGCCCAGTCCAAGGCCGAAAGAATAACCGGTGGACAACAAATAGAGCCCCGACCAGACGAAGAACCAGACCGCCAGAGTTAGAAGAAGGGTGTTCCGCTGGACACCTGCCGTGGCATTGCTTCTAGGGTTCAACTTCCTGGGAATGATGAACATGCCTAGGTCCTGGCCAGCAAGAAATATGGCCAGGTAGCCGAGGAAGCTGAAAATTCCCTCTCTGTTCATGGAAATAATATTAGTCCGTGGTGCAGTCAGCACGAAGGCTTTGAGCTCTGTTGTTTCGAG